ATATATATATATATATATATATTATATAATTATATGAGTTACACATAATATTTAACAAAAAAATTTCATGTGGTGACTAACACACTCTACAGAATGTTTATCATTGTGTACCTTAAACTAACAAAACTCCAGCAATGGCCTTTGTCACTGTTCTTGAATGAATGCGTTTGGAAATCCAACTCTGGTTGATAGACACTGCCTATGCAACAGTTCGCGTGCAGTGGGAGGTCTATAGCTTTTATCAGCTGGTGAAATTTCATGATAATTTGAGTATCCAGTACAATGAGTGTTCGCCATAAGAACGATGCCTTCGTAGACAGTGTTGCTATGGGTTAGTATGTAGCCAAGAGTCAGGAGAGAGAGTTTCAAAGTCTTGTAAGGTCCAGGTTTTGCGGGAAAACTGCACAGCCACTGGTAAGTTGCTGACTTTGACTGAATGTTAGAAAACATGAGATCATACGATTATTTATTATTGATATTGCAAAGAGTTCACACTTTCGTACACAAAAATAAGAAGACAAATAAGATTGAAAACAAGTGGCAGCTGTCAATCACACACAATATCAGGGAAGAAGTAGCTTTCCCAACTCAGAAAATATATAACAGTGCCACAGAAAGATGTCATTTGTGCCCTTGGGAAAGGAGGAGGACACAATGAGCGTATCATCTGTTCAAAACCTGTTTGTAATTAACACACCTAGGTAAACAATGTGTGTGATCTGTAATAAAAGAAAAAATGTTTAAAACACAAATGTAAAGTATTTTGAAAGGTTTTGTTAAATTAAACAATTTTATTAGAGTATTGTTTCATTATCCATGTCCAAAATGTGCACCTGTGAGCATAATTCCGTTGCAGACACTCCTGGGTCCACTGGACCCTACCTGCCTGGTTGCGTCATTAAATTTGGTTGCCCAAAAAAGGGTTTAAATTGCTCCTGTGCTGCAACTTCAGTCACTGTCCAAACATTCTACTGGAATATTAAGATTATGTACTGCTGTACTTATGGTATCTTTTTTCTCAATTTACTAAATTATTACAATTTTGGCCATATAAAAAGTAGATCAAAGAGTATTCTCATTGCTCCAATTGTTGATTCAACTACTTCTGATCAAAAAGGAATTGCTGAGGAAGATATTATTTTGTTTGCTCTATGAGGATATTTTCATGAACTTCAACAACAATACTTGTAGGAAAACTCCAGTATAAATAATTGGAGAGTTTTTAGATTCTATGTGCATACATTTTCCTATATTTGAGATGTATCAGTTTGTGTGTGAAGGCATGTTGAGAAAGGTAGTTGTCTGTGTTATTCAGCTAGTTGAAATTGTCATGACTTTTGTGAAACTTATAATAATAATAATTATTCGTTACATTTCATGTTTATAACATTAAATGTTAGTTTTTGTATCAAATTAACTCAACTGTGAGTTAATGAAAAAAATTCATTGTAATTAAATGTCATTTTTCAAAGCACATAACAGATTTGTGTTCTAAATTTCACATTGCAATGATTTTAATGTGTATAACTTTTTTCAATTTCTCTATTTGTGAATTAATGGTCGGAATCACTCTACACTTTCTTTGAGGAATCACAATGCAGTTTTGCCAAAAACAATTTTTTTGATTTTGAGAACTTTTGCTTTCTTATTTCTTTAATGCATCTTTCCTTTTATTGCTTCTAAAGAATAATTATCCATGCAATGGATATTTTGAGATTTGATGTTGCATGGTGATATGAAATATTTTTGTTGATGCTAATCTAATCTTTGGTTTTGAGTACTTTTTATCAGTGTTTAGTGTATTTTCCTCACAAATTTGTAATTCTATTATAGTATAATTTTATAATTTTACTTGGCTGTTAATGCCAACAATATAATTGAAATGAATTGTTATTATTTCATTGTTATATCTCCTTGAGACATATGAGACATTTTGTTTCCTGGGCACTAAATACCAACTGTATACTTAGAAGCCCTGTTTCTTTGCTGGTTAACATTTCCTGCATTTTCTTGTACTCTTAGAATTTGGATTTTGGCATATTTTCTCATTGCGTTGTTCTTCAAACGAATCTACAAGTTATTCATCCAACATCTTGATAACATGTAGATCTGTTTTACTGTGCATCTTACCTCCTGTTAATAGTTCAAATGGGTATCTTCCAATACTACTCTGTAGCATAAAATTGATGGCACACTAGTCAGTAGGCACAGTAGCTAATAGAAAATTAGCTTCTATTTTAAAAATGGTATTACCAATCCAAATAAATGTATAATACACTTCAACTAGAACATTGTGACGCATATCTGATGAGTCATAAATAGTCTTCATTAAAGTCGCAACGTCACATTTATTAACATCTTGGTTATCATCCACAAGCACTTTGTGATGAATAGTCATTTTCTTGGAACTGTTTTGTAAAATTGTAATATCCGAAGAACCACAGAATTCACAGATGTTTGCACAGGATGTAACTCAGAAACATTACTCAGTAACTGTGGTAAACTATGTTTGGGACAAATATTATTTGGTCTATCAAATACAAAGTATTTGGGAAGGCAAGAGTTAGTTGACTGTTCACAAAGATTTCTTAATATTTGCCTAACAAGCGCCACAATTCATTAGAAAACATATTGAGTAATCAGAACACACACACCATCAAATAAATGCAACACATTATCTGGCAAATTTAAGTTTTCTATTCTTCATGGAACAATGTTGTCTACATTTGAAGAAACTGTTCTCAATGGTAACCCACACTTACAACCTTTCACACAGTTTTGCATGGTATTGTAATGTTGATCTTGTGCATAATTATAATGTTTCTTTTGCTGCATTTTAATATCTTTAAACATGTCCGTCTTCTGGATTTCCATTTTGTGAAGATAAAATTAATCTATGTAAGGAAACTTCCAGTTTCAACATTCAAAGGAAGGTACTAGATCTTCTCGTAGGCCACAAATCTCCAAATCAGACTGCTCCTCAGCTGCAGAGTCCGAAAATAAATTTAATTGATCTTTAGTATAATCCTCGATGTGATTTTAATCGACCTCCTCCGATGGTGATCATCGCCTCGATGTACTGTATGTCTGTTGCTCTTCTTTCACGCAAATGTTAATTTGGACATGAAATTTCTTCTTCTCTGGAGAATAATCGGCTACCAACTCTTGAATATGTCATCTATTATCTTCGCTCACGATGCTCTAAATGTTCAGTTCTGGCTTATCTGCTTTATAATATTTGGAGCCATTTTTGAGAAAAATCTTGTTTTGTTATATTTTAAAATTGCTCATATTGCCCGAAAAATGCTAAAATGTACATACAAATGTACACAAGCTTAATGAAAACTCACTATGGGGAACAAATTTTATTTGAAGGAAAAATCTCTATCTTTAATTTTGTGGTTGTAGTAAGACGCCCGAAATATTTCAAAATTTTCGAAAATTCAGAGTTAATCCTGAAAATCGGATCTATGCCACATTTACCAGTGTATTTTACTCTATTTTTACAAGAAATTTAAAGAAAAAGGTTAGAGGTATTTTTGACCAAATTTTGAAAATGTACGGGTGCTTCGTGTAACCGCCAATTTTAAAGAATATTTTTCACAATTCAAAAGCGTCGACTCTACCCAGATGAATATGTGGTTTCGTCAATTTGGAAAAAATCCTACTAATGGTTTAGGCGCTAGTGGTGTTTACAGACGGACAGACAAACGGACGGACGGACGTTTTGAAAAAACAAAAAAACAAAACATTTTTTTAGTATGAACGGACCCCAAAACGTGTATTTCCGTTGAAATCTCGAAATCGATTTTCCACATAATTTTCTCTATACTACGTACAGAAACGGGATTTCGGATCTTCTTTTGTGGGACAAATTTAAGAGGTAATTATTTTGTATACAAATTTAAAATTAGTTTTATTTTAAAAAATATTTATGTTTTCATTGTTTAAATAATATTAATTGCATTAAATAACACGAAAAGCAGTATGCAATATGCTTGTATTTCACAATTTATTTTTTAAAAATCTGTACTGCTCGCAATGTGCCAAACTTTTGAGAAGTATTTAGATCTGTGAGGAGTATTTAAGATCATTTCCAAAAGAATCCGCGAGCTGAATGTGCCCTGCAGCAAATTGTGAATTACGATCTCCGTGCCGTGTGCACACAAACAGCGTTGTTGTGTTTTAAGCTCCGTTCTTGCTTTGTTTTTTGGTTGTGTTTACCTGTTGTTTTTTTAGAAATTATCAGTGCGTCAAGTATTCAAAATAAATCCTCATCTATAATATAAAAATGAATCCCAAAATGTGTTGGTAAGCGCATAACTCAACAACGCCTGGATCAATNNNTAGGAACAAAAAACTGTGACATTACAAATCTTTTGGACAGGACGAAGTCTGTCGGGTCCGCTAGTTCATTATAAAAATACATTCTTGGCACTTAGACTACTATGTTAATCCTGTGGCACTTAGATCACTATTTGCATTTGGTACTTTGGAATGATATTTAATAAAGATATCACTTTTACAATTTGTATTTAGATTTAATTTAAATGATTCGTTTTAATATGAAGTATTTTCATTTAAAAACTAGTTCTCGAGGAAAAAACATCATTATCTCAAACATTGAAAATGGCACTGAGATCAAAATTTTCTTCGAGTTTTCATTTGTAAATTCCGTAGTGGTAGCAGA